ACACACACACACACACACACACACACACAAACACACACACACACACACACACACACACACACACACACACAGATTCTGACCTGTTGGGAAATCTACCCGACTGACCCGCTGTCCTGAGGAAACACTATCACACAGCTCTGCTCTGCTGACATGTTTGCGCTCTAGTCGACAGGTTTGCGTTCCTCAGACCAATTGCTACGGGCCGTTCTGGCCTCGACTCAAAGGCTTTACTGTTATTTTTAATACACGCATTACATGACTCTGCTCTCTCAACAGTTCAGAAAGAAGGAAATCGCAGAATGAATGTAAACAACATGAGCTTCCTGAGCACACCACGTTTTTCCTCATCAGCAGCAGCCCGGCCAGGCGTTGATTCGGTAACGAGACGTCAACTGACATTTGTCATTAAGTAGTTAAAATAATGATCTCGCAGTGCTGCCGTTCACGCCTCAAGAAAACATACAAGCAGCTTAAAAGCTTCAATATACACGCATACAGCACCAGTGTGGACACTGACTGAATTTTTTATATTTCATAATTTTCATGACTTTATTATTATAAATAGTAATAATATAGTCACACTGAAGAATAAGTGGATTTGTCCAACCTTGGCAGTGTATATAGAAACACACACACACACACACACACCGTTTCCTACAATCAGACACACAACCTGACAAACACTCAGATGGTGTGAATAAACGCTGAGCTCAGTAATATTTTTTATGTAACTGCACTGACTCCATCGGATGAGAACAAAACTTGTGAAGTTTGCATGATTGATTCTATTATTTTCCTGTTTATTTCTGTGAAGCTGCATTGAATCTGTATTGTATAGAAATAAAGAATCCTTGAGTGATGAACGTTGTATTCTCTCATTCACTTCTACAGATGTCCCGTCTGACTCTTCTTCCCAAACAAGGTTCCAATTAACGGCTAATGATGGCCAATCCACCAGCACAGGAAATGCAAAACATGCTGCAGCTGATGGTCGGCTTTCCCGCTTTGATTAATCACTCAGAGTCTGAAGAACGCTTGCTAAAACAATTAGCAGGAGAAAGACGCCTGACACGCTGGTGAAACCTGGAGCGAGTCCTGTTTAGATTTCAGCCCTGTATATTTTTCTGGCAGAGCTGAAATGTTTTTGCGCACTAGTGCTGGCGGAAAGTATGCTTGCATTTGTTGATTCATTGTTAAGGCCTTAAATCAAAACCACAGCAAAGACCATCAGCTCTGCACGTGTGTTTTCACATTTTAATGGAATATATTGACCCTCTACGACATCCATTAACTAACCATGTACAGCACACACCTGACCAGAACATAAGACACAGCAGAATCTATGAAAACTAAACTGTTAAAACAACATTATAATCCAAAAAACTAAGCAAAATATATTTAAGAATGAAAGTAATATTTGAATATCATAACAGTAATCAATAAAACAATGAAATAGATGTACATGTAACTTCCTGTTTATGACGTCTGTTCATTTAACTTTAAAATGTCTGTTATAGAAATATGTATTAAATGCCACAAAATATCGTTAGCCTATCAAAGCTTCTAATTCACTATTAACCAGTTAATCACATGTATTCTTCCCATTTAGCAGTGCGTGTTCAGTCTTTAACCCTTCACTGATCCTCACGTCTGCTGTGTCTATTCACATCCACACAGACCTGTCTCATATCTGTGTCTGTCTGTCTGAAACACACCCAGAAACACTCTCACACGCATCTAATCCTGTGGAATTATGCCGCTCTCTGTGAAATCATGTGCTTTACAAGTACTTTTACTTTAGGAATTTGCCATGTGCAGCCTGTCAATAAACGACTGTGTCTCACTGATACGGAACCGTAACTGATGTTGAGTGTGTGTAATCCTGATCTTGCTGTGTGTTTCAGATCACATGAGCTCATGCAGCAATAAGAGACGTGACATATGAGGTCAGTGTATCCCTGACCATCACACACACACACACACACACACTGCTGGACCCGTGTACGAGCGTGTGTGATCGGGTCATCTGGAGCTGCAGAGACATCACAATATACAGTGAATCAAGCTGAAACTCGATCCATGAGAGCAGCCGACGTGTTCTTGTCTCTCTAATGGCCAATCAGCCGTTCTCTCTCTCTCTCTCTCTGTTGTCACTAGTATGGTTGTTATTCTGCGCTGCTGCTGTTCTTACGAGACACACTGCTCATGTTCACTGAACGCTGCTGTAACTGCAGCAAGACACTTTTAATGGCTTTTCTTGTTGCTTTTGGACAAGCATCTCCTGATTTCTGCCATACAGCTGCCAATCAAAATCACTCCATCTGGCTGAGGGTTAGTGCTGCATTCAGAGTAGTCAGTCTATCTCAAGTGGTCCAAAAGAGTTTGCTTGACCATTTTTAATTTGCATTTATTGAGTGATTATCTATAGGTTTTGGTATTGCAA